TATTTGAATGCTTCACTAAGCTTAACCTTATTAATTTCTCCGTATTTATACCTGATTTTTTTTCCTTGCGAGTTATCTGATGGTATTTCGGTAAAAATAAACTTGTGCTCTGTTACATCCGGATCTTCAAGGACTTGCCATATGGGTTTCATCTGCAGTAATCCATCGCATACTATTGACAGATCAATATACGATGTGCCAGATGTTCTGACCAAGGTTGGGTAAATTCCGTCATTTAGTACGGTTAGGTTATTGATCTCGTACCATTCCAGTACTTCCCTGCCTCTTCTTTCAGTGCGATTTCCTCCCCAAACTTCATGTTTGGTGTTAAAGTCTCCAGTGATCAGTAATTTTGTACGAGGATGTTTCTGTTTCAGCTCTAAGGTGGCCTCTTGCAGTTCAAGCATTAATGCGCAGAAGCTGTCAAAAGTTATGTTTGGGCTCAGGTATGCTGATATTATACAAATCCCTAAATATCGTACACTAACATAACAGTGACCAGATTTGTATTCCAGGGCATGCAAGTTCTTATTAAAGTTTATGATCATAGCGTTAGCATTGCTATTATGGTAATAATTTCTGTTGCCATTTCTGCATATTTTCTTATTTGGTTCAGTAATACATATCACGTCGCATTTTTTGGATGCCGCTACCGCTGCAGCTGTATCATGTACGGGTATGCTTCTATTAGCATTTATCTGGAGTACTCGCATTGTAGCATGGATTTACACAAAGTTACAAACAAGCAAACTATATTTATCACAAAACAAGAACAAGACAAATATGAAATTAGTAAATTAAAGCTAGTTGTATCACAGATCAAATTAAATTTATCACTTTCTACTCTCCGTTTCCATATTTCTATTTCGGGCTTTTTCGACCATGGATATCCGATTTTGTGTTCCTTAAGGCATAGTAAACATCTAGGAGGCTCTTTACAAGGCCTTTGCATTAATGTCCTTCTAAACCACAATTTGTACATAGCTGACTTCTGTCAGATCCTGTGCGGAGTTGCATGTGTGCTAAATGTTCTGCGGAAAGTATTTCTCTCAAAAGTTTATTTGGTAGTAGATAACTGGTAACGTTAGCAAATTTATTGACGTAATTTCATCTAAACACGTATCAATAAGTTGAATTAAGTGATTGCAAAAGAGTTGTTATAAAAACCAAATAAAAACTCCTACACAGGCTATCCCAATATTTCGTGGACATAGAACTACTGCGTATTTTTGGAATCAAAATATTGTTCATTGTGTCCAGCGAACAATATTTTGATTCCTCTATAGGCTTGGTGCATTCTCCGCCGGTGCTGCCACCATCAAGGAATATCGTAAACAATCGGTATACCGGGTGCGTCTCAAAAGTGGCTCACCCCTATAATTTTTTTATTTTATCAGATAAAAAAAACGAGATTTGGTATGTTAGTATATGACATAAATTACAATTGATTGACGTATTCAATTGTTTTGGGTAACTTCCTGTTTCACCGGAAGTGACTACAACTTTTGATTTTTAAATGGGACCCTCGGTGTTTTTTTACTACATTCGATAGAAAATGACATTCTGAATAAAATGACATATCATATGTCAACTTTTGACATTTTTGCTTAAAACAAAATTGAATTTTAAATTTCAATCTAGAGTGCCATGACTGTGTTAAAAACACTAATTTTTAATCAAGGAGCCTTGGAAAAATAGATTTGATCGTCTAATGTTATTCGTGTCTTGTCCTGGCAGGTTAAAAGATGCCCAAATCGCATTTTTAATCATATTTCAATTTTTTCAAATAGAACGAGGGTGGCTCATTAGCATATTTGGGAAACCATTTTTTTTACGAATAATTTGGTACCACACACTTAGTATTTTGAGTCAAATTGTCGGTATGAATCGCATGTTGCAATTTCAAATAAACCATATTCGAAAATGTCAAAAGTTGACATATGATATGTCATTCTATTCAGAGTGTCATTTTCTATCGAATAAAGCAACAAAACACCAAGGAAGTGACAGAAAACAATTGAACGCGTCAATCAATCCTAATTTATGTCATATATTAATATACCAAATATCGTTTTTTTATCTGATAAAATAAAAAATTTATAGGGGGTGAGCGACACTTTTGAGACGCACCCGGTATACAAATACACGGGTTTAAATAAAATATATACGAAAACGTATACGAAAAACGAAAAAACCAAAAAAAGAATACGTAATACGAAAGGTAGACGAAAAAATGTTTATATAATTATTCTAAAAGTGTTAAGAAGTATAATATGTGAAAATTCTAAAAAATAAAAAAGGAAATATTTTGATATCTTCAGAAGGTCTAATTTGTATTATAATTTATTATTGAAGCTAATAGAACTTTTTAGATGAGTTAAATTACGATAGTGAGCATAGTTTTACGCTTAGATTAACAATAAAAAGTTTTACGCACCCATTTTATTAGTGGGGACATAGCTTAGGCTATTTCGGCCATAACGAAATTTTTTTAAAGGTACATAATTATAATTTTAGAAGATGTTCATAAAACATTTAATCACTAGTTGATTAAAAAAGTATACCATTAATATTGCAAATTATATTTCATCCTCTCATAGTACCGTATGATCGAAAAAAAAAAACGGCGTCCAGTTGGCTGGGAAATGAACATCGATGACATTTCCCATATAAAATGACAGCGATCTTCATTCCACAGCCATCGCTGACGCCGTTTTTTCTCGATCATACGGTATATGTCTATTAGTGGAGTGCTTTAAGCCCTTATGGGATACAAACCTCGGAATTCATTTACGGTGAACGAATTTTTATAAATCTTTTTGCATTGTATTGTTAATAAGATATATTATAAGTTTACCCATTTAAATTCGTTGCTTTCACTTTAGTATTTAAATAAACACACAAATACAAATGCAGACATACAAGATGGCTGGTTTGGTATGTGGTTGTATTCCGGAAAAACTCTGTATCAGGATTCCTATTTGAGATTTTCACTCCAAACCTTTTACAAAATATATGTTTAATGGTAGTTCACATTTCAAAAACATTTTACAGATATACAGGGTGAGTCAAATATATATCATTTATTTATTCGAGTTCAGTGAATTTGCTATAAAATTCCGGTTCCAAAAATAGCTTAATACCATAGATGGTCTTTGAATTATGACCACGTCCATGAGGACGTCAATATAGATGTCCAGGAACCTTCGTATGAGAACTTCTAATCGAGACGATCGACTTATTGTAAGTTTATCGCTAAGAAACCGCCGTTTACCAGCTTTTCAAATTGATAATGAATTGCACTTAAGGACCGTACATATTAACTAACGGACTACAAGAAGAATATTAAATGAAGCAAATCTTATGCCAACAAGGCCTACTTGGGAACCAGAACTTACTAGATGTGTTGACTAGGCCCAAAAGCAAAGGCATGATCTTAATGTAAAAATTACGAAAAAATATTAGTGCCATTTTAAAACCGAATATTTCCAACAAAAATAAAGCTAATGAGATGAACCAAAAAATAAACCATCGAGAAATGATGTATCTAGATGATAAAATAATTTTTAAATTTCTTGCTGTTTTAACATATTTCACAGGGTGTTTCAAATTTTCACCAAAATATCAACATTTTGTTTTGCCTCGTATAATTAACAGATGAGGAGTTTCATTTTTAATTTAGAAAAAGATACTAAAAAGTCCAATAATTTGGAAACACACTGTTTAAAAAATCATCAAAATCGGCCCATTAAAATAAAATATATTAATCTTTAAAATATATCAAAGTTTTAAAGTGCCCATTTTTCGTGCCGTGAATGTATTTCAAAAACTATACATTTTAATACTTTTCTAATGAAACAAACCTTTATTTTTTTACTAGAATCCAAAAATCAATTAATATATAGGGTGTTCCATTACAAAAAACTTAACTTTGGGTAACTTTTTTTGGGGACACCCTGTAGAACTCTACATAATTTTAGAAAATGCTTTAAACTGACTTACATAAGCTCACAAAATTTCACTTCAATACAAACTTTTGTTCTCCTTGCAAAAACCGCGTCATATATGACGCGCCACCCTGTATAATTCGATTTCAATCAAAATTTCAATGATTAGAATATAAGCAGAATAGGTATAGCTTATGCATTAGATTTATTTATTTCAATAAATTTACTTAGAAAACGAATTAAAAAAAATAAAATATTAAGAAGTAAATAATTAAGAATTTACTAAAATTACTAAAATAAAAAATTAAAAGCAACGAAAAGAAATGGGTAAACATTTTAGTATTTTATCTATAAAACACAATACAGAAGGTTTCTCATTAATACATTCACAGTAATTGAATTCCGAGGTAAACGTCTCACTTGTTTCGTCGAACTACTTGAATCCTTTCTTGCTATTGATCAAATCGGTGTAAGAAATTATGAAGCTATAAAATGTTGTTTCGGGAGAGTTGAATATCCGGGAAAGTTGAGTTACGCACGCCCTAATTACACTCTTCTTTACGCGTTCACATTTTTTTCGGCAACATTATTGACATTTAAAATTGTCACAACACAAGACGCCTAATTCGAATTCTTTTTCACTTATTTTTTACTACCCGAAACAGCGTTACATCACACAAACCTCGTACCTGAATGTTTTTTAGTCTCAATAACTGCACTAACAAAAAACTAAAATACTAAAATACTATGACAAAACCCCGCGATTTCAATATTATTTTAATGCGATCGACATGCCGGCCGCGTGAACTTGCGCGTTAAGTATATATTAATAATTTCTGATTTCTGCCGTAGAGTGCGCTGCGGTCGGAATTTGTTGAAATCAACTGAGATGCACCAAGCCTTTAGAGGTAAATTTTGTCCAATGAACTTATTTCTATTCAAAAAGTACGCAGCAGTTCTATTTCTACAGAATATTGGGACACCCTGTACTTTTATAATATATGGCATTTTATGACAGCCTGATGGCAGTTATTATTGTCTGTTATTGTCAAGTTCGTCACTGTCGCTTTTTTCAATGTCATCATTTAATCAAAATTTTCAAGTATGAAAAAACCCGAAAATGAAAAACCTAAAAAAGAAGTTTTTGTCACATTAATATTAACAGAATCGACATCAAGTTTACTCAATTTAAATGCGCCTCATTTAGAAAATACCCATCCTGAAAACTCAAAAATATGCGTAATAACTGAAGCTGATTATGCGATATTGAAAGAGCAACAAAAATTAATAAATGAAAGCTCTGTGAATTCGTCTAATAATGACCTTGAATTAGCATCTAATATTGCTCTTTTTTCTACAAGTAACTGTTCATCTAACAGTGAAATGTACGGTAAGATTGTAATAAGTTTACTTTCCTATACCTTTTTGTTGTTAATCTTTTAGATAATGAAATTTTATAATGCCGGGTCCAGACCAAGGCGACAAAAAGGAAACACGATTTTGAAAACAAGACAAACTTGATACAAAAAATGGGGAATTCTGAAAAGACAAACTTGAGACAAATTTATTGTCCACAACGAAGGACAAAAATACAACAAAGTCAAAAGTTTGTTGCGAATGATTTTTATTAACCATGTCTGATTTCACTGATCTACTGTTGGCAGCACACGCCATCCACACTGCGCCGATAACTTGTAAAATATACGAACAAAACATAGACACTTTGACTTTATCGACTCGAGACAGGACATTGAAAAGTTTCCGAGTTTTGAAACAAAACAAAAATGAGACAAAAATGTCGCAGAAATGTATGGGATTTGTGACAATGTTGTAAAACATGAATGTTTCTGTCTTGTCGTTGTTTTATCTGCTTGGTCTGGACCCGGCATAACAAATAAGTACGTTAGCATAACTAGCAATTCATACTGGGGAGGGGGGGGGGACCTGGGGCTGAGCCTAGGGGGGTCCTAGATCTTTTTTTTAAATGAAGAATAATTTAAAAGAAAAACACATTTTTTGAATAAAACTTTTACATGAATTTTCATAGACTTGATTATCAAACCGTGTTGATTCCAAAAACCGTAGATTACTTAAATAACCACAAATTTTCTAAAAAAATAAGAATTAACACATTTTTTGAACACAACAAAATAATATTAACTAAACAAAACTAGAAAACGTCAATTTTAATACATCACAAGCAAATAAAAATTAATACGTAGCCAAGAGTCATAATTCAAGATTTATCTGGGGGGTGCCCAGCAGTACCTAGGGGGGGGGCACCACCGTGCACCCCTGTAGTTACGCCAATGAATAGATATAGGTACGGTAAACTTTATTATTGCTTATAATTTTTTCCTTAGATATTACAGATGATGAAGATACTAAATGCTCATCTGAAACTAAACTGGAAGGACTGTTAAAAAAAACTAAAATTGTGTGTCATCCCTTAGTTACTGCTCGAAGCGTAGCTCATTCCAGCAAAATGGCATTAGAGTGCAACGACTTATATGTATCTCTTTTAGATTCCGAAGTAAGTCGATTTATTTCAAAGTTTTTTTTTTCTTTTTTTAACAAATTTTACAATAATCTTCTAGTCGCAGTTGTCTTCTGAATTTATTTGTCGTATATGCCACGGTGGAGAAAGTATGGCCGATCTTTTAACACCCTGTAGATGTCGAGGAACTGTAGCTCTAGCGCATTTGAGTTGCCTTGAGAGATGGCTGAAAGAGTCTAATCACAGTTCTTGTGAGTTGTGCAAACATCATTTTTCTATAGTGAAAGAACCAAGGTACTTTGTTACATACACATCAAATTGGATGATGGAACTGCATGTATGCTGGATAAAATATACAGGGTGTTCGAAATATGGGTGGTTATATTTCAGGCGGTGATTCACTATCAAAAAATATGGAAAAAAGTTTTTATAAACATGGGACCGAAATTGCATAGTTTTAAAGATAAAGAATGTTAAACTTTAAAAATATTCTTTTTCTAGATGTAAATAACGTTATTTTTGGCATTTGCATTGAACCAATGTTAAATTGAAATTTGTTGTTTAAAACTTTGTCATTAAATATCTTCATAGCTTACTCTAGCTGAAAATTGAAATTTAATTTTTTAATAGGGTCCATAGGTCTCCGAAGAACTGATTATAGTTTTTCCCTAAATCAGGATAATAGGCATATGATGTAAGATAAAAAATAAGTACTTATTTAAGACCCGAAATAAAGACCCGTTTTTTACTTTAAAGAATATAAACATTACAAAAAGCCAATGGCCTAAATGTCTTTCGCAATTATTTTCGAAAAGTGTTCCCTAGGACGCCACTGGACTTAATAATTTTAATTTAATCAGACCTAAATTAGGTCCTTATTACTAGAAATCGCGGACTATAGGGTATTTAAGATAATTATAAAAAAAAACTATCCATTCCATACATATATAAAAGCTCATAAGGTTTTGTTATTTTTTTTTTGTTACATCCATCCCGCCGAAACCGCTTCACCAATCTTGATTATTCTTTTTTTAAATGAAAGATATATATGTCTAGATTTGTTATGAAGTATTTTTATATCGTTTAATCGCCATTTCTTTGTGTAAAACGAATAAATATTCAAACATACCTGAAAAACACCTACACACAAAACCTCCAGAAATAAATATTTGTCATTGTCAGTGGTGTGTCAGTTAGATTAGGTATATATCAAGATTTTAGCTATTTTAGGGCTCAGTTCATAACTCCAGCTTTAGATACATAAATATTAGCACAAAGGTTCGTTTAAATGACATTAGTGATTAGTGAACTATGTTAGTGAATTAGCTAGGTAAAGCGATTTTAGGAAATTCATCCTCTTGTTTGTTTTTAAAGTTTAACATGCTGCATTAGGGTCTCCAAACCTGTATTCCAGGAAATCGAAAAATGTAAATGCCTGATCTAAATTGACTACACTTTATTAATTGTTTCAAGATCATATTTTATTTATACTAAGCGCGCAGAACCTCAATATCTATCTTATATTTCCGTCTTTGAGATATTTTTTTTGCAACAAGAAAAATATATTTTTTTTTGACTTACTAAATATGAATGTTTCTTTGTTTTGTCTATTTTAAATTTTAAAAAAGCTCTTTTCTTATTTTCTTTTTAGAATACCGCGTGCGTCTCAAAAGTGGCTCACCCCTATAACTTTTTTATTTTTTCAGATAAAAAAACGAGATTTGGTATGTTAGTATATGACATAAATTAGGATTGATTGACGTATTCAGTTGTTTTCGGCCACTTCCTGTTTCACCGGAAATGACTACAACTTTTGATTTTTAAATGGCACACTCTGTATTTTTTTGCTTTATTCGATAGAAAATGACATTCTGAATAGAATGACGTATCATATGTCAACTTTTGACATTTTCGCTTAATAAAAAATCGTATTTTAAATTTCAATCTAGAGGGTCATGGCTATGTTAAAAACACTAATTCTTAATCACGCTTAAAGAACCTTGGAAAAATAGATTGGATCGGCTAATGTTTTTAGTGTCTTGTCTTGGTCAGTTAGAAAATTCTCAAATCGTATTTTTTAATCATATCTCAATTTTTTCAAATGGAACGAGGGTGGCTCATTAGCACATTTGGAAAAAGCATTACTTACGAATAATTTGATACCACACACTTGGTATTTCGAGTCAAATTTTCGTTACGGACCGCAAGATAATTTCAAATAAACCATATGCGCAAATGTCAAAAGTTGACATATGATATGTCATTCTATTCAGAGTGTATGTTCTATCGAATAAAATAAAAAAATACCGAAGGTGCCATTTAAAAATTAAAAGTTGTTGTCACTTCCGGTGAAACAGGAAGTGACCGAAAACAATTGAATACGTCAATCAATCCTAATTTATGTCATATACTAACATACCAAATCTAGTTTTTTAAACTGAAAAAATAAAAAAGTTATAAGGGTGAGCCACTTTTGAGACGCACCCGGTATATAGTAGCTGCCTTTTTATAAAGTATTTCGTAAGATTAAATTTATCATTCTGAGAGTCAATCCCGGGATTATAGGCTTCTCCCGAAACAACATTTTATAGCTTCGCAGCTTCTCACACCGAGTTGATCAAAAGCAAAAATGAATTCAAGCTGTTCGATTGCGATTCATTGCATAATTAATCAACAAATTAAATAGACATATACTAAAAAAATGGATAAAATATAATTTGCAATATTAATGTTATACTCTTTTTTTTAATCAAGTAGTGCTTAAATTGTTTATGAGTATCATCAAAATAAAAACACTAAATCATCACAATACACCAAAACACTTTTACTTTTACACTGCTTTCAGTGTAAAAGTAAAAGTGTTTTGGTGTATTATGGTGATTTAGTGTTTTTATTTTGCTGTGTAACACCAAAGGTTCCAACCCTCAACTGTAATATGAGTATCATCTAAAATTATAATTATGTACCTTCAAAAAATATCGTTATAGCCGAAAATAGCCCAAGTTATGTCCCCACTAACAAAACGGGTGCGTAAAACTATGTTCGTTACCCTAGTTTAACTCATCTAAAAAGATTTTTATTAGCTTCAATAATAAATTATAATACAAGTTAGACCTTCTTTTTTTAGAATTTTTACAAATTATACTTCCTAACACTTTTAGAATAATTATATATATTTTTTCGTGTACTAACTATTTAAACCCGTGTATTTGTATATGCCGATTGTTTTAGACATTCTCCGATGGTGGCAGCACCGGCGGAGAATTCACCACGCCTGTAGGGTCTCGGGATTTCAAAACGGGATCCCGATCTCGAAAATTGGAAACCCTATGCTGCATGTATCAGTAAAACTATGCTTTTTCGGACCCATGTTTATAGCCGGAGAGCTGGCGACATATTTAGAGAACATATTTTAGGCAAGTTAAAATAACAAAAAAATTAACTTTAATAACTTGTGAACCCTGAAGTCTGGCTAGGGGGTTAAGGGTATTTCGCTACTGCGCAACCCATAACATTTGCAGAAAAATAAATCCAAAAAACATTCTTTAGGCAACTTGGAATTTGTTTATTCTTAAATTTTAGCACCTATTTAAGTATGCCAGACTTTTTTTCGGGTTTAAAGTGTAACCCGACCATTCCAAATATGTTTAATTATTATACCTGGAAAACATACTTTAGGCATTCTAAAATTTTTACAGCGTGTTTATTAGATGATATTAAAAATATGTATTAATTGCCAGACGAATTCAAAGGGATTTAATACTTGCCAGACGCGAATAAAGATTTTAAATGAGCGCGACAAAAAAGTCTTATGAGTATCTATAAGCGCGAGAAAGATAGTTTATTGAGACCCGTCGGCAGCCGATGATGAACCGATGCGGCTGACGTAACCGTATTTTGGAGTACTTAAAATTTTCATAAAAACAATTTTTTTTCGGTTTCATTTCAATTATTTGCAGGCTTTTAATTCAGAGATTATTTTGTTGGAATTAAGTTACCATGTACAGGGTGTCCCATTTTGGTTGAAATCATACGGTATCTCCGTTATTAGTGAAGATAGAAGGGTGCGGTTTGCACAAACCTGTCTCACTTTTTTGTCAAACGGAAGATGCTGTAAACAAAATTTTTATAGCCCTCTTCGTTTCCGAGCTACAGGGTCTTTTTGAAAGTTTTGCAATTTGGGACACCTCCTGTATCTCTGATATTGTTAAAGCTATCGAGAAGGTGAAAAATGTTTATTGTAGAACTTTTTATGTAGAATACAGTGGCGTAGTCTGTTTTTCTACCAAAAAAATATTTTTGAAAATATGAACTAAAGTTATGTTTTTTTAAATGGAACACCCTATATATTTATAAATCATATGATCTGTCTTGCCATAAGCTTCTCAAAAATATATATCACTCTATATTTATTTTCACTATTTACTGCAATATTTAAAAGTTTTTATTAAAACATCATATTTATTAGTAGGCCATGATTGATAATAAAAGAAACTAAAGAATTATTAAAAGTATACTGCTATCTTCTCTTTGTTTTATTTTGGGAGCCGCTAATAAATTCTTTATATATTAGGGAAACTTAACTCCCTACCGCTATTTGTAAATCTTGGAATACGTGTATACGTACGACTAATCTATCGTATCGGAAATTTTAGATATTCCTTTAGCTAATTTACGTGAAATATACTTTCAGCAAGATGGGGAACATTCCCCCTCATAACTATGGAAATATTAGAATACTGTTAAATTATTATTTTTCAAATCAATGAATTGGAACCAATGAACGCATATTGATAGCCTCCTCGATTCCTAGATTTCGCCGTTCTCGATTTCTGATTTTGGGAATTTTTGAAATACGAAATATATCGTAGGCACTACAACAATGTCGAACACCTGAAAAATGCTTTAATAATTCAAGATTTAGATATTTGCAAACCCATCCCGTTATAAAAAAAAGAAAAATAGTTTCAGTGGTAACAGTTATTTCAAAAGTAAAATATATCAATCCCAAATAAATTTTAATATGTGTATGACTATTTTAGTAAATACCATTTTGATTTGTTATTTATCACGGCCTACTAATCAGAAAATGATATATTTTAAATATTGCAGTAAATAGTGAAAATAAATATAGAGTGATATACATTTTTGAGAAGCTCATAGCAAGACAGATCATATGATTTATAAATATACAGGGTGTTCTATTTGAAAATACATAACTTTAGTTCATATTTTCAAAAATATTTTTTGGTAGAAAACAGACTACGCCACTGTATTCTACGTAAAAAGTTCTACAATAAGCAGTTTTCGCCTTCTCGATACCTTTAACAATAACAGAGATACAGGGTGTTCCAAATTGCAAAATTTTCGAAAAGACCCTGTAGCTCAGAAATGAAGAGGGCTATGAAAATTTTGTTTGCAGCATCTTCCGTTTGACGAAAAAGTGGGACAGGTTTGTGCAAACCGCACCCTTCTATCTTCACTAATAACGGAGATACCGCTGGAACCCTATGATTTCAACCAAAATGGGACACACTGTACAAATATGTATTTATAAATTAAATATTGACGTGCATAGTGTAAATAGTTTAGAATAATTACTGCAAATAAATATTTTAGTAACTACTAATTTCGCTACTAACTACTAAATCACAATGGATAAAAAACATTTAAGTTGTGTAGTTTGTAAAAAAGTTACTAGTGACAAAGTTATTATTTTTGATGAAGGCAGACTACAAAAATGCAAAGAATTTTTAAAAGTGCGCCAACAACATGGTTTAAAATTTAAAGAAGTGGTTTTACCAGAAAACGCAGTCCCGACAAAAGGGTACCATGTACAGTGCTAAAAAAATAAGTATTCTGGAATTTTATTAAAGTACCATTGTTAATCTTTCTAAATAGATTCAAAAGTAAGTAAAAGTGCTTTACTTTTATGCTTAGGCGTTAAAATGACTTTTTTATATTGTCAATCAGAGGCCCGATTCTGTAAACATTTCTCCTGTCTAGTGACTCATCATTCGTATACAAATAGCATAGGCTAGACAAGAAATTTCTTGCTACGGAGCTTACAGAATCCCACTGCAGGTCGCAAAAATTAATAATAATATAATATGTCTCACAAAAGTATAATAATAATTATACTTTTGTGACGTTTGAAAAAAATATATTTTTTATATTATGCTAATTTTTAAATAATTATTCGTCTTTTTATTCTTTCAGATACAAAATACTTAAATTAAAAAGTCTTCTTATTGAAAGGATTTCAATCATACATTTTTATTAGAAAATGTTTCTTTTTATTTATTCAATATTACGTCAGCCGCATCGGCTGCCGACGGATCTCAATAAACTAATCTTTCTCGCGCTTATAGATGCTCAGAAGACTTTCTTATCGCGCTCATTTAAAATCTTTATTCGCGTCTGGCAAGTATTAAATCCCATTGAATTCGTCTGGCAATTAACACATATTTTTTAATATCATCTAATAAACACGCTGTAAAAATTTTAGAATGCCTAAAGTATGTTTTCCAGTTATAATAATTAAACATATTTGGAACGGTCGGGTTACACTTTAAACCCGAAAAAAAAGTCTGCCATACTTATTTCTAGGTTAAATAGATCCTAAAATTTAAGAATAAACAAATTTCAAGTCGCCTAAAGAATGTTTTTTGAATATATTTTTTTGCAAATGTTATGGGTTGCGCGCAGTAGCGAAATACCCCCAACCCCCCAGCCAGACTTAGGATTCTGGGTTCACCAGTTAATAAACTATACATTTTTAGTTATTCTAGCTTGCCTAAAATATGTTCTCTAAATATATCGTCAGTTCATAGGCTATTAGAGGAACTTTCTTCCAAATTTGTTGATGGGGAATCACACCCTTATACGTAGAAAACGTTCCCAACGTATTGGGGGTGAATTTTTCGAACACTTTGTAATTAATTTACTGTTAGTAAATTGCTAAAATATAATAGTTCAACAGTGTGATTTTTTATTCTAGATATAGCGTCCCTTGGTCAATATTGGTATTTTTAAGACACCCAGGTTCTCATCTGAGAGAAATCTTGCTAGACTTGATTGCATTTGCCTTCTACACTCCAACGGCAGTGGCATCGACTTATATTCTCATGCTAACCTGCGAATCGCTAATTAAAAACAATATTGTAACGACCGGATCGTTTCCTTCTCATATCATAGCATTTTCGGCTGTACTTGGTAAATGACTATATTATATTTTAGCAAAGTTATAAGTTTTCTCTTAGTTTCATATTCTCACATAGGTATGGCTACAATAGATTTCACTTATACGTCCTGGCTCATTATGAATATTCAGAAGCATGTAGAAGCGTGGAGGGAATGGTATGCGTTGAACTCCAGGCTTCGCGTGGTTTTGCCGAAAATTAAAATGAAACCGCACAAAAACCGAAGGAAAAAGTAATGAATATATATATATAAGAAAAAAAATAACAGATTAAACAGTTGGTGTAACTATCTTTTAAATAAAAAAGCAATATCTAAAAACTATATTTTATTATTAGTGGCGTTTCACATGGAGCACAGTGGACCGGATTAGCACAAACATTGAGAACAAAATTATTTTTATTTTTTTTATAATTTAACTGCCATAAATACTTAAAATAATAATCTAATTGTTATTACCTTATTGAAATTTTGTGACATAATATCCTGATTCGTTAATATTTTGGTACAAAGGTAACTTGTCATCAATTTAGATTTTTTGATGTATCGTCAATATTTTATACTATTATAAAATAATAGTCCGGTCAAATTAGCCAAAAAAATAAGAGTAAAGGTACATAAATTTACAACAAGCTGAAAATGCGTGTAATTGTTTAAAAAACATATAAAAAAAATAACGTTTGAAAAATCCCGAATCATTCCGGTGCCTGGAAAAAAAAATTATGCGAGATTAAAGGTCAAAATATCTCGAAAAAAAATTGTTTTTTTCTCGATTTTCAACAAAAAAGTAAGTTTTATCATAAAATTACTTCCGACAAAAATTATAAATCATAAAATTCTCTATAAAAATGTATCAATCATTTTTCCCCTTAGAGCTACTGTTTCTCAGATATAAATAAATATGCACATGTTTTCACGCCCCCTATGAGTGTAATTTTTTTAGCGCGCGTTTCCTTTTACGTTGTTTCCCCAGTAGGCCTATTTCACATGTCTATTGTAATTCTGGTTAATTGAAAACTATTGCAGAATAAAAGATATTAGTAAGGATTGGAATCGCTTTTATACGATGGAAATAAAAAAAATAGAAATTTACTAGTCTGATTCATAATCTTCAAATACTTCTTCTTGTTCTTCTTGATCGTCTTCTTCTTCTTGATTTTTGTCTTGTTCGTTTTCTTCATCCTGGATGTCAGTAAATTGCGTCAATAGTGATGCATCGCATGTTTCTTCGTTGGTATTTGATATCAAACGAATCCTCTACTATTGGTGATTCAACATTAGAACATGACCGGCCTTGACAATTTGTATATACCAGAGAACAAAACAGTCCAACAGCCAGGTTAGTATATTTATATTAGACCTAAAATAGCCGAATAGAAGAAAAAATTTATAAAGTTTTGATATGTTGAGATTACACGCACCAAAAGGAGACTTTTCAAAATCAAAGTGTGAGCTTCACCCCAAAAAACCACCCCCAATACGCCCTTCGATGGTTTTTCGCTTTTTTCTCAGAACCCGTTGGTCCCACAAAAAATCTTATACTTACCAAAAATATTCCTTATAAAGCTACAAAAAAGGTTCTATTCATTATTTATATTTATCCAATGCATTTCGAGCAATAACCGTTTGAAAATGGAGTAAAAAAAAATACAGGTCGCCTTTCAAATTATGTAGAGTCTCCCAAGGAATTTTAACGTGCTAAATATACACGCAGCAGATATAATACTGTATAATATAAACAAAAACATTGCCTATTCCACTAAACTAACATTCATACTTTCATCTACATATTGTCATCGTCTAGTCATAGAATGCTCAGTATCAGGCCAGTCAACTGAGAGTTATACGACCTTGAACGATCTGTTTTTGGGGTAGTAATTTCGGGGCGCTAGATGGCGTATTTTTATTTTAATTTTCTAGTTGCCTAACAATTGCGTGCCAAAATTGTTTCAGTTGCCTAAATAGGCTTATTAATTATGTTCTGTCATTGTTCTATGTTAAAATCAGTTTTCGTTTCCAGCTTCCTCCTTCCTCTCTTCAGCTGTTTTTGCAATTGAACGGAGATGTTTCGCTGTTTCTGGTTGTTTGGCTGTGTTTTTTGCAATCTTCATTTTAAAATCGTGATTTTGTATTTTGAATTTTTTTGAACTTTGTTTTGTGTTTGATTTTTAAGATCTCTATTAAAGGTAAGGTTTGGGTTAAAGGTCTTTGATTTATTTAACAATTTTATTTAATAACTGAGAAAGTGAGGTGAGGTAAACTCCATAAAAAATAATAAACTAGAAAGAAGTGTCAACTCTGTGTTAAATCGTGGAAACACGATAGCCGCCACCGAAAGCCTTCGTTGTCGTCTGGAGAAACCAATTTTCAATTCGACCGGTTGACATGATGGCTTCGTTTCTTTATTTCCGTTTCCGGTTATTCAATGGCGGGCACCTCTTTCGCTTAAATGTATTTTGTACTCTTTCTTATCATAAATAAACAAAATAAAATTTATTCAAAACATATTTATTTGAATGTGAGACAACGTGACTAAATAAATATAAAAAAAATAAAAGAATTGAATGATTTCTATATCAATTACATTAATATAATAGTATGCAGTTTATAATTATATGCAGTTTTAACGTAAATTAGTAAGGTATAAGCATGACTTACAGTAATTTTAAATAAATACACGTATTCACAGCCTCCAGAAACAGAAACGGGGGCAGGAACATGAAAAACGGCAGCCTTATACCATTACAAAACCAAACCTGAAACAGAAAAAACACATTTTTATACTAAAATTAACAATGTAAAAAATATCAATATACTACCTAAAAAGCTCCATTATTCCCAAAGAGTGAATGAATCCAAAGAAGCAAAAAGAGAGACTTTTAATCGGATAACAATCAGATTGTATCAGACAGATTTATTGTATTATTGGACAATAAATTGCACATACTGAGATAACTAATATTGGCTATAGTTAAAATGATCTTACCTGTTGTAAATTGTTTCCATTTTCAATAAAATCGCCGATCATAAACATATAACAAAATTTTCTTGCATCTAAAAAACATGGAAATAGTGTTTATTTACTACTCATTTTTAATATACATGGGACATACCTAGTACTGCAGAAACGTCTTTTATCCAGGGATTTTTCATGTAATATATATTTTATATGCTTTATTACCTTTATATTTATAAATTTCAGGCGAAATATCAAATTGAATTTACAAAAACAAAACGGGGAGAATTAAAATGGCGTCGAAATTTGTTCGATTTGTTCTAGAACAAATCTGTCAATTCTAAACTGTGAAGTTAGATTAATAGTTAGACAGAAACATTGTTGTCCTTGCTCCAGGCGGGCTATACTTGTCGTCAGAGATGACACAGGAATGACACTAATGACTGTTTCCACTTTCCTATTTCACTGTCACCCCTGGAGGTAACCTAACCAAGTCCAAATGTTCGTGAATTTTATTTAACAATGTAATATTTACAACGCCATATTTTTACAAAAAAAATTGATCAACTCCATATTTTTGATTACAACCCACAATGTGATATTACACACCTGTTCAAGTCCATATGTAAAAATACAATGCAAATAAAACATTGTTTTAATGGACGTCACTTTCTCTTTTTATTCCAACGATATTTGTTGTTCTTAAATCTGGTACTATAATAAATATTATATTTTTAATCTGTTAAGTTTCATTTGTTTGTAAAATGTTTATGGTATAATTTCTGTAAATTAAAATAAATTATTGTAGGTTTTTATGCACATAAATGATATAAGCAAAACCATCAATTTTACAATAGTTTAACCTTGGTTTAACCTTTTATATATAAATCCTTGTTTTTACCATTTGACTTGTTTGGTTAACGTTTGGGACCAATCAGATGACTACACATTATTTTGTAGAAATCTGATTGGCTCTAACTGGCGAACAAGTCAATACGTCTTGCTTAAAAATAAATTGGATCTATTTAAATTTGCCGCCACATTTGTTACTTTCCTGGGTGGCTAGATGGCGCCACTTCTACAAATTTGAAACCGTTTTCAAACTAAAATTGCATGGGAGCATGTTCTTCTTTAGTGTGTTCTGTGCTCAGTATTCGAACAACTTTGCCCACGACAGGTTCCGCATTACGTTGTACATATTTCATGCCGGCTTTTTAATGTAACTGCATCCTTTACACAATCTTGTTTGCAGTTGCACGTTATTAATGACATAATTGAAGCAGGGGCGGGCGATTCTGTCGTGTATAAAGGTGACAGGGTGTTGTTGATTTTCTTCCAGCCCCACTGGTCGGGTTTTATAGGTTGTTCTTGCCATATTTGTACTTGAAGATATGTTCTCCGGGAATGTTGCCTAGCTGCAGTAGATGTGGGAGGCAATTTTGATAAAAGTACCGTGCTGTTTGCTTGACCAACTAACTTCCAATAAGTTAGTTAACAAGCGTATCTTAGTTTCAACAAGCGTATCTTTGCTCACTTCAGATGATTGAAGTTTGTATAGTTTCAGTATAAACGTCTCTCCAGCTTTTTCAATTTCTTCAGGTGTTGACTTTGCGTTGTTAAAAATATCGACGATACTATCAAGGTCTTTTTCTTTATTAAATATTTGTACGTGTGTTCCTTTTCCAAAAAATCCTAATATTGTGTCACACCCGCTAATAGCGTGAATAAATAAAATTGATTTTTTTAAATCACGTATAATACTGGATGATTGCAAGTCTCTCGAACTATACCTACATTCGTTGTTTCACATTACCTATGGCTTCTTTCAGAAAAAGAATGTATTTTTCATCGGGGGAAAGTGCTGCTAATAGAACAAGATTGACATCTTGTCCAACGACTAGAACTTGTTCATTTTTCTCAGATATTTGGATGGCAGTACGAATAATTTGAATATCAGCAAACAAGATTGTGTAAAATGATGCAGTTGCATTAAAGCCGGCATGAAATGTACTACAAGTATGTGCGGAACCTGTCGTGGGCAAAGTTGTTCGAATACTGAGAACATTCTAGAAACTATAGACGATGACAATATGTAGATGAAAGTATGAACGTTAGTTTAGTGGAACAGTCAATGTTTTTGTTTATATTATACAGTATTAATATCTGTTGCGTGTATATTTAACACGTGAAAATACCTTGGGAGACTATAATTTGAAAGGCGACCTGTTTTTTTTGTACTCCCATTTTATTGCTCGAAATACATTGGATAAATATAAATAATGAATAGAACCTTTTTTGTAGAAAATTTTATAAGGAATATTTTTGACAAGAATAAAATTTTCTGTGCGCCTAATGGTTT